GGAGCTCATGAAGAAGGTGATCAATGCCGCGGCGTCGGAGAAGATTGCGCAGGTGATGTTGGCCGAGGGCCCTTGCCCTGCATGCTACAACCTGGTACTCGACATCAAGGAGGAGGCGACAGCGAAGGGCACGAAGAAGACCTCAGTGGATATGATTCGCAAGAACGCCCCCAACGCCACCGGCTGCAAGCTCCCGTGCTGGGGGAAGGTCGTGGACGGCAGCGTGGCCCAGCACTTGCCGAGGCACTCGGTCATGCAGCTGAAGCTTGCAAGCGGAGACGGGCCAGACCTCTGGCTCGACGGGGCCCAGTTTCAGAATGTTAAGCGCAGCGGCTTCTGCCCAGCGTGGCTCATCACGGACGCGCAGCCCTCGGACAAGGACATGGGCGCAGATGTGCAGGAGCCGCCGAAAAAGAAGGGGCGGAAGTCGGCTGCGGGAGTCGAATACGAGCCTCGCGACACGCGCGAAGTTCACTACGAGCCGATGCCGATCGAGATCATCGTGAATGGCGAGGCCGCCATCTTCGACTACACCAGGCCGTACCTGAAGGACGTCACGGGCGACGGCAAGGACGTGCACGACATCCCGCGCCACCGCGGGGCGGTGGACAGCGACGAGATGCACGTCGAGAAGAAGGCCAGGGCGCCTAAGGGCGCCTCTGGCTTTGCAGCCCACTAAGTGGGCAGAGTGGGCAGCATGGCTCCCAGGTGGCAACTCAAGGTTGAGGGAGGGAGGGGGAGGATGACGGAGGAAGGAGGGAGGAAGGGAGGAGGAGCCATGAGCACACGCGTCACACGTTTCTGGCCAGCAGCGCCACGCAGACGCATATATATATATATACTCTCTCTCTCTCTCTCTCTCTCTCTCTCTCTCTCTCTCTCTCTCTCTCTTTTGTCTCTCTCTCTCTCTCTCTCTCTCTCTCTCTCTCTCTCTCTCTCTCTCTCTCTCTCTTTTGTCTCTCTCTTTCTCTCTCTCTCTCTCTCTCTCTCTCTCTCTCTCTCTCTCTCTCTCTCTCCCTAGTAGGTACATCGGAGTTGCTACAGCCAAATCAAATCGGAGACGCCTGAGACAGCGCGGTGACCGTTTCCCCAGGGTCGCATTTTTACTTCCTCCTTCCACTCCTACCGCTCCTCCTCTTTGCTTCTGGCACTTGCTTTTTAGTGCCTTCTCTTCCGAGTCGCGCAGTAGGATCGTCCCCCTAGCGAAGCAGAGTTAGAGAGTGGAAAAAAAACGACAGAAAGATTCGTGTTCTGATTTGTCGGCGCTGGACTTTAGTAATCTTGAGGTCAGGGACGAAAGCGAAAACAATTGATTCAGGCCAAGGCTAGGTCAACCGAGTTTCTGGACAGAAAGCGAAAAGTCATGGCATCGAGAGCTTCAGAGTAAACCAAACAACCCTCCAGGGAAACAAATAAATAACAAAAAATTGAACCTATAGAGCCGGTGATTCCAACATCGACCTTCAGAAATCGATTAAAAGCTATCCTGGGTGGCAGCCCCAGGAGCCAGGAGGAGGCAGAGTAGCCATCACTTTCCCCCTCCTCCAAACTGCTCACGTTGCACCCCCCCCCCTTACGCCGCTGCAGCGGTCTAGGACTATACCCAGTCCCCTAATTCAATCGCGAGGCGATCGCGTGCCATCGCGCGGATGGTATCGGGGTCGCGGCGCATCACGATCGCCTCGGCCAGCTGGACCGTGTTGATCTTCCAGTGCCCCGGCCGAGGCGCCCCGCCGGCGCGCTTCTTCTTCCGCGGCGGCTGCTGCTGCTGCTGCGTGTTGCTGATGTGGGCGGCTGCTGCTTCAGCAGCTGCGGCTGCGGCGGCTTCGGCTGAGGCGGCGGCAGCATCTGCGACTTGCTGCTGGCGCTGCTGATGCTGCTGCTGCAGCAGCTGATGCTGCTGCACGGCGGTCGCCAGCTGTGCCTGCCACTGCTGCTGCGTGTGCGGCCACTGCTGCTGCTGTTGCTGCTGCAGCAGCTGCTGCTCGTGCCACTGCTGCTGCATCAGCTGCTTACGCATCAGCTGCTCCTGCTGCTGCTGCCCGCGCAACTGCTCGCGCTGCAGCTCGTGCCACTGCTCCCACTGCTGATGCTGCTGCAGCAACTGCGACTCGTGCCACTGCCTGCCCTCCTGCGGGTTGACGGCCTCCCGCTGCGGCTCGCGCCACGGCGGTGGCTGCTGCGGCACGCGGTACTGCAGCGCCGCCGTCAGCATGCCCTGCAGCTCCGCAATGCCGACGACACCGTCGCTCATCACGGGCCCACGCGACTGCCCGACGCAACGCGGGCCTGCCCTCCGCTGACCTGGACGCGACAGCTGCAGCTGACGCCCGCGATGCATGCGACGTCGTCTGCAGCCGACATCCGACGGGCGACGCGCGCGACGGCGACGAACCACGGACGATATGCAATCACCCGAATGGAACGACTGACGACGAACCCACATTGGAGGGATGAAGGGGGGAGGGTGATTCACATCACTGCCCATCCACATCATGTTCCCCGCACCTCGTCCCATTCGCAATCCTCGACGCACTGACATCGCCCCTCACTGGCCCACCGTATGCTGCATCACTGCTGTTGCCCCGCGTCGTCGTCGTCCGTCGCCCTGCGCTGTTTACCGCGCGCGCAGCGCAGCTGCGCCCCATCCCCCCATGCATGCACATATCCTACGCCTAAGCACCCGCGGCTGCGGCTGCAGCCGCTGCTGCGCGGCCACTTGCACCCTCCACCTGCCGCGCGCGCGCGGGCGCGCGCGGCGCGGATCGCGGCGTGCCCCGCGTATTCAGGCTTGAACCACTTGTAGGTCCAGCCGCCTTCGCCCGACCGTCGCCTTGCGACGTGCGTGCTCCTCTTGCGGAGCCAGTGGATGCCGACCGCTCTGGGGGGCGCCGCCGCCGCAGATGCACCGCCATCGTCGCCGTCCTGGGCGCCGTCCTCGGCACCGCCCCGGGCGCCGCCCTCGGCGCCCGCGTCGCCGTCCTCGGCGCCGTCATCGGCGACCTCGTCGTCGTCCTGGGCGTCCGATCCCGCGAGCGCCGTCCTCGGCGCCGCCCTCGGCGCAGTCCTCGGCGTCCGCGAGGCCCTTGGGGTGCCCAGCTGCAGCTGGAGAGCATACACAACCTAACCACACCAATGCACAAACAACTACACGTGCCCAGCTGCAGCCGGGCACCGCCCAACAACATTATCTGTCCTGCGCGGCCTGGGCGCGGAGGCGGGCGAGGGCGTCGGGCTCCAGCTCGACGAACAGGGACCGCCGCTCGTCGACGTTCTGCAGCACCCTGGTGACTCCGCCACCGCAGGCGACCTCCACGATGGGGAGGGAAGGTGCCCGCACCCACCATGGCCTTGTAGTCCTTCTGGGGGGAGGGGGGGGGGGGGAGGGGCGCAGCTGCAGCTGGGTAACAAGCACTAACACCGAGCACCCATATCCTTGAGAAGCCTGCGCATCTTGTGGGCGCCGTAGGTGCTGATGTCGCCCCCCCGCGGCGCAGCCGCCTGCAGGCTCGCCTGCTTGCGCTTGCGCTTCAGCGAGTCCACCATCTTCCGCACCACCGTGCTGCGCTGTTCCACTAACCTCCAGTGGGAATGTCCTGGTGCCCACGCATCGGACAATGTAAACTTAGTAAAAGCAGCCCTGCCCACCGCGTAGGCCACTGCATACAATGACACATTAACCCCACCCAGACCGACCTACCCCGCGCGCGCGTCGGCCGTAGCAGACGCGTCGGTCGCGGGATCTATATACCTATACGACCACCCTGCGGGTGATAAGGAGGTTGGGGGGGGGGAGGGGCCGAGCAATCGGCAACAGTGGTGATTGTTCTCCTGACGATGCCAGTGGAGATTTTTTCTCGGAGGCCTGCTGAGGCTCCTCTCCCTCCCTTTGCCGGGTTGCACATGGTGCAAATGCAATTGATGAGAACTGCTGCGACGGCGACGGCGGCGGCGTCCTGTCGGCGTATCCCTTTTTATGTAGACGGACCAACTCCAGGGGCCCAGACGCACCAGTTTTTCGATTCGCTTCCAGCCGCGGCGGCGAGCAGGGCCTCCGAGGGCCAGGAAACCTCTACCGAACCTCGGCGCCAACCTCAAAACGGGACTGGGACCCCTCCCAGAGGCCCGCGCCGGCGTCCTGTCGGCGTATCCCTTTTGGTGTAAACGGCCCAACTCCAGGGGCCCAGACGCCCCAGTTTTTCGATTCGCTTCTAGCCGCGGCGGCGAGCCCGCGCGGCCGCCCGAAGGAACGGGGCGCGCTCGGAGAGAGCGGCTGGCAAAGCCTAGCCTGCACTGGTGGGTGCACAGGGCCTCGCCCGCACGCACGGCACGCGCGAACACGAAACCGAAATCGATTTCCCGGTAGGGGGCCTCTCCGTTCCACTTCGATCTCACCCCCCAACCTCCGATTCCAGTCGATCTCACAATCGACGTCGTCATCATCATCATCATCAACAACATCAACATCAACATCATCATCATCATCATCGCCATCATCAACATCATCATCATCACCATCATCATCATCACCATCATCAACATAATCATCATCAACATCATCATCGGGACACCGACGGGGCACCGACGGGACACCACCGGGACACCGGCGGGACACCGCGCGGCCCCGCGCCCCGGTGGAGAATCATTTGGCGCGGCCGTGCCTCAGCCACAGAGGACACCACCGGGACACCAGCGGGACACCGCGCGGCCCCGCGCCCCGGTGGATAATCATTTGGTCCGGCCGCGCCTCAGCCACAGGAGACTTTCCTCTCGCCCGCCCACGCAGCTTCGCCTCGCCCGCGCGCACGGCACGCACGAACGCGAAACCGAAATCGATTTCCCGGTAGGGGGGCTCTCCGTTCCACTTCGATCTCACCCCCAACCTCCGATATATGTCCAGTTTTGAAACGTGAAGCGGAGCCGGGCGGAGAGAGAGCGCCGCATTCGTCTGTGCCTGCCCCGCTGGCATTGGGCTCAAAGTGCAAGCCGACGGCACTTCGATGGCCTTCGCCGCATGGCTGGCGGGCGAGGCGGTGCACGGCGCAGGGCAGGCCGCGCTGCTGTGGGCAGCCCGCGGTGAGTGCCCAGCCTGCACGCGCGCGCCGGCCCTCACGTGCGCCCCTGGCCAGGAGGCGGCGCGCGTGGACTGCCCAGGCGGGTCCCCAGGGTGGGCGCTGTCAGCGGTGGCCCTCGCTGGCGTGACTGGCTTCGCTGGAGGGCTCCTGGCCGCGCGGTGGCTGGGCTCCTGGCAGCCGATCGCTGGCCTCCCGCCTCAGCCCTCTTTGGAGGAGGAGGCTAGAGCGCAGGCGGCTGCAGTCAGAGCGCGGGCCTGTGCCTCGTGATGGCCAGCTTTGCAGCCGCCGCGGCGGCCAGTGGACACCCTTTGGCTCTGGACGGACTCGACGAGGGCGATTTCATCCTGGTGCTGTATCGCGTGGGAGGTGGCCGGATCTGGCACGAGCGCCTGATCCTGGCGTTTCAGACGGTGCCGCCCTTCGGGACAGGGGTCTTGACTCCAGATGGGCACGCCTACGTGGAGGCCATCATGCAGAACGGGGCGGACATCAGGGAGTACGCGATTCCCGCCGGCGCCGCAGTCGGCGCCGTGGCCGCCGCCACAGCTGGGGATCAGGTCTACCGATTCCGTGGTCTCCCTCTTCCTGGAGAAGTCGCGACGGGTGCCGCCTCTGTTCGAGGCACTCTTGGGCTGGGCGCTGGGCCGCCGATCGCGCTGAACACGGCAGGGCGTGGCATCGCAGCCGTGGTAGGCGCTCCGGCTGGCGCTGGGCCTGCGGGGGCCCCCGCTGCGGGCGGGGCCGGCGGCGCTCCTGGGGCTCTGGGCGGCCTGGCAGGGCTAGCGGCAGCCCTCGGAGGCGGCCCAGCAGCCGCGCCAGCTGGCGCCGCCGCCCTTGTGCCAGTGGCGGCCGCACCTGCACCTGCGGCAGGAGGAGCTCCAGCTGTCGTGCCTCTTGGCGGAGGAGGGGCGCCCCCCGCTGCTCCTGGCGCCCTTGGCGGCGCCGCCGTGGCGGTGCCGGCCCCTGGGCCTGCCGCCGCCCCCGCGCCTGCCGCAGGTGGTGGCCCTGGTCCTGGTGGCGCGGCCGCTGCTCTGGCCGCCATCGCTGGCGCTCCAGGAGGCGATGCTCGGATTCAGTCGGTCGCCTTCGACGCGCAGGGGGTGGGATATGTGGACTTCCGAGCTGCAGTGGTTCGCCTTCACGAACTGCCATGGGGCGATTGGCCTCTCAAGGGACCTCGCGCGCTGCTATGGGTGCTGAGCTTCATATGCCGCAATGGGGGAACGCCCCTTGGCAGGCACACGAAGTGGGTTTCGGAGGGGTACCTGGAGGCGGACGATCCTGGAGTGGACATCCACTTGCTGTGCTGCCGCCTCCTCGAGCTGGGCGTGGTCTACGATCAGCTCCACGTGACCAACACTGCGGCCATGGAGTTGGTCGGGCGGACCCTCCAGACGCAGGAGGAACTGTACCGAGACAGGTTCGCGGCGTCTTCGGAATTCGGCTCAGACGCTGCGCTGATGTCGGGTGCTCTGGACGCTGGCGGCAACGTGTGCGTAGCCCCTGCTCTGAGGGACTGGCTGGCCGCCGAGAAGGCGCGCGAGGCCAACATAGCCAAGGAGCGGCGCAAGGCACGTGAGGAACGACTCCTCGCAGCCGGCGGCAGCTCTGGCGACGGGCGCGGCAGCGATGGCCGAGGTCGAGGGCGCGGCCGCGGCCGCGGACGAGGCAGAGACGGCGGGAGGGGCGGCCGCACAGCCCCAGACGGCCATGGCTGAGAAGCACCAGGGGGGGGCACTTGGGCCAGCCTCTCCCTGGGACAGGAGTGCGGCTTCGGCCGCAGGCCCGGGCGCGCGTGGAAGTCTCCGACACCGAGACGTCTTCCCGCTGCCGTCCCCCGCTGCTGCTGCCGGCCCACCCTCATCGCCAGGCAGTCGCCGCTCGGCTAGGCGCGCTGGGTATCGCCTTCATCGTGAAGAGAGGGTTCGCTCAGCCGTCAACGCATTTAATTCGCTCTATGGTTCTCGGTCCTCGCCTCCAGCTGCGGCTCACGAGGGGCAGCGCCAGGCCATCATGCACATCACGGACAGCATCGACGAGCTTGGGCGACCGCCGCCAGAGTTCATGTCTGGTAACGCTGCCGAAGACGGAGCCCTCCGGGAGCTCCTCTCTTGCGCCAACCTGTACGGTACTGGCGCCGCGACGTCGACCCCCTACGTCAGCGACAGAGTCGCATGGCCTGCCGCGGGTGGGACCCCAGTGGGCATCGTCGAGCTGGTGCCGCCCGTGGATAGGGTCTGGCTGGAGGGTTGGCGGAGTCATATGCTTCGAGATCCGCGTGCTGCTGCTGCTCTGGCCAGGGAGGCATGCCCGAAGGGGCCTTTTTGCGATCCCGCCCTGACGCGCGACGTGAGCACGTACGGTCGTTTTTTGATTCAGATGTACGAGAGACAGATGGTCAACTTCGCGGCGGACTCCGGTCAGCCGCACACCGTCGGCCTCTTCTTCGTTCCCAAGAAGACGGGGGCCCTCCGCATCATTTTCGACACGAGGGCCGCCAACTGCAAGTTTCTAGACGCGCCCAGCACTCGGCTACCTTCGGCTTCAGCCTTCAGTTCGATCGAGGCGCCGATCGAAGGCATGTACATGTCCACCTGCGACCTGGAGTGCGCCTTCTACCACATGAAGCTCCCTGAGGGCATGGAGGTGATGTTCACCTTGCCGCCGATCAAGGCGGGGGTGCTTCGGGAGCTCGGCCTCATGGACCTCGACTTCGACCCGTTGGTGTCGCTCTCGCCCCAGGTTATCGTGCTTCCTATGGTTTTTTCGTGGGCATTGCATCTTTGTCAGGCTGCTGCTCGCACCGTGCTGTCGGACGACGGCCACTCTCTGGATCAGACCGCTCAGGATGGCAATCCTGGGGTTAACGTGGTTGAGAAGAATGCCGTGGGGGTGGCCGCCTACGTCGATAACATCCTCGTCTTCGGCGGCTGCAAGTCCTTGGTGGATGAGACTATGAATAAGCTGGTGGGCACCTTCAGGAGGCGCGGACTTCCAGTGCACGAGATCGAGAACGCTGCTCGGAATGCCGACTTCCTTGGCCTCAGCCTCCGCGGTGGAAGATATCTTCGCATCAAGCCTCGGAACGTTTGGAGACTCCATTTTGCGATATCCAGTTTGTTGAGGCGTGGATGGTGCTCCGGCCACATGATCCGTGCGGTGCTTGGTCACGTGGACGTCGATGATCCGCAGAGAGGTGCTCACCGTGCTGCACAGCTCCTATGGCTACGTCGGCGCCTTCGGCCCGAGGCACGGCAAGCTCTGGCCGTCAGTGATCAAGGAGCTCATTATCATTAGGGACCTGCTCCCGATTTTGACCTGCGACCTGACTGCAGAGTGGCATACCGTGATGACGGCCAGCGACGCCTCTCCCTTTGGCCTCGGCGTCATGCGACGGCGGGCGCCTGCTGCTACTTGTGCTGCAGTGGGGCGGTGCTCGGAGCGGTGGCGCTACAAGGTCGAGGGCGGGCACCAGGCTCGCCTTCGGTCGCTCAAGGCAGGAGAACTGGTGGTTGATGAGGGGACAGGCGAAAACAGACAAAATCCGCCCTCTCTCTCTCCACCTCTCATGCCAAGATCCAGCGGTAACGGGGAGCACTCTGAGGAGCACCTGGGCAGCTTGGGGGGTCACGCGTTGAAGAATCCAGAGGACATCCAGGAGGCCTGCACCTTGGGCGTCCACGGTGAGGGCTTGGGCATCCCTGTGGAGCACAACATGACCAAGGCCCTGAGGTTCAGCATGGACCCTTGGGAGCTCGACGAGGTACCTGGGCACATTACACGCAAAGAAGCCTGGAAGAGCGTCAGTGCACAGTCGGTGTCTCTGGGGGCCAATATTCTTTACCTTGAGGGCGGGGCCTTAGTCACGTCTTATCGGCACCTTCTTCGTGACTTGGGCAGTCACGGCAAGCGTATGGTGGCTTTAGTCGACAACCTGCCCTTGGCTCTTTCTTGTACGAAGGGGAGAGCCCGCTCGAGTTTCTTGAGGTCATGTCTCAACCAGTTGTGCTGTCTGTCGTTAGCCACGGGCTCGAGGCTTTGTGTACGCTGGATCGCTTCAGAAAGGAACCCATCAGACTCGCTCAGCCGTGGGAAGCTGGGTTGGTTCAGCGGCCACCGTCATCTTAGTGATGCTCGGACGGCTGGTCGGCGGCTGCGTCGCACTCTCTGTCCTGCTCTTGCTGATCACGAGGGCGGAGGCGATGCCGCGACAGGGATCGCGCACCCCTTCGGCCTTGACGAGGCACCGCGCGATCCTGGCTGCCAAAGCCACGGGCGGGAGCACCGGCACGCTGGCCATGAGCCTGCTGGAGCAGCAGGCGGTGAGACTGAACACAGAACGCTGGCCATGAGCCTGCTGGAGCAGCAGGCGGTGAGACTGAACACAGAAGCCTTCTACCGGCAGCCGCAACACACGTTCGTGAGCTACTGTGCGGACCGCCACCTGGACTGGAGCACGTTGGGCCAGTTGGACTCGATCCTGGCGGAGTACCTCGCCGCGCGCCACCTGGCGCAGAGGCTGACGCCCGGCCGCATCGTGCAGCCGTCCATCGGCGCGGGCGCCGCGTTCCAGTTCTGGGGCCTCCTGCTGCACCCCGCAGACCGCGGCCAGGGCGGGATGACGGGGGCGTTCGACGTGCCGATCCCTCTCGATCTCGACCTGTACCTCGTGCCGGTCCTCATGGCGCTCCGCCTGAAGGGGCCTGTCGCGACGCCTCTGTGGGGATTCAGTCTCGGCCGGCGGAACCTGATGTTCTTTCTTGCGGCAACGACCCTGGGCATCAACCACTTGCGCCCCCACTTGTTCAGGATGATGAGGCAGGGCGGAGTGAGCCACGACCTTTTGACGCAGAGGCGATCGATGGAGCGGGTGCGCCGCAAAGGCCGCTGGGCCGTCATGTCGTCGATGCGGCGCTACGCGAAGGAGACGGCTCTTCTGCGCGAGCTTCAGGACGGGGCGGAGGTCGTGCACGCGTTCGGCCACCTCGTGGAAGGGCGTTTCTGCGAGCTGCTGGAGATGGGCTTCCTCAGAAACTGGCGCCTCGCCCAGGTGCCCTCCCAACTAGCGGAGGCGATGCAGCTCTGCGGCCCGGCGCGCGGCAGGCGGGCTCAGAGGAGGCCCGCAGCTGCGGCACAGTGAGTGCTGCAGGCGACGCCGTCCGCCAGCACCTGAGGCGGCGTTTAAAGGAGGCTGTGCAGCGGGGATCGCTATGTCGCAGGCGCGTTGTGGTAGAGCTTTTCAGCGGTTCAGGCCACTTCACCGCCGCGGTGCGCCGACTCGGCCTCTCGGGTCTGGGACTCGACATCAGGCATGGGCCTCTCGAGGACCACCTCGACGCCACTTTCGAGGAGGTCATCGTCGGATGGCTTTGTAGCCACGCAGTCGCCGCTGTTTTTCTAGGGACGCCCTGCACCACCCGGTCGCGGGCTCTCAGGAGGCCCCTGAGATCTCGCGACCACCCAATGGGATTCCATCAGTTGAGCACTTCCGAGAGAGCCCGCCTACAGCAGGGCAGCGCTTCCTTTGCGTTCACGTGCCGCATCATCAGACTGTGCAGTCGTCTAGGGACTCCTGTGATGCTGGAGAATCCAGCGAGCTCCTTGATGTGGTATGCCCGCTCTCTGTCTCGGCTCGTTCACTTACCTTCTGCACGCAGTTGTGATCTAGACCAGTGCCAGTATGGTGCACTTTGGCGGAAGCGTACGAGAATCGTTTCATGGCATGCTGGCCCTGTTGAATCCTTATGCCGCGTGTGCCAGGGGAGACGCGGGCTGTGCTCACGCACTGCCAACAAGCATGTAATTCTGTCCGGCCAGAGCCCTGCAGGATGTAAGTACACTGCGCTCGGGGCTGCATATCCAGCTGCCCTCGCTAATGCTCTCGCAAATGTAATCAAGCGCGCTGTGCTCAAGGCGCCGCAGCAAGCGATGGCTAGCCTAATCAGCAAGTAGCGTGTCTCCGTGCTTTCTCGCTTCGGCATCGAAGTGCCTTTCTACTTTTCGGCCGCCTCTGCCATTCTGTCAGTGGCGGCCAGAGCTTCCTTAGGGGTTCGGGAACTCTCTATCTGGTCGGACCTCTGTGCAGTCTGCTCCGTCGCCCAGCTGCTCGCCGGGAAATCATCTCATGGCAGTGTCTGCTGCCCTAGCCTGGCTCGCGCTCGACACATACAGTAAAAAAGAGACAGAGCCCCTTCAGTCCTCAGGCCCCGCGTGAGAGGCTCGGTAGATCTTTGTTCTGGTCCAGCTCTGGCGCTCGGGATCCTCGAGGCGGGCTGTCCAGTTTTGAAACGCGAAGCGGAGCCGGGCGGAGAGAGAGCGCCGCATTCGTCTGTGCCTGCCCCGCTGGCATTGGGCTCAAAGTGCACCCACCCACGTGCCGCCCTGGCCCTTTTGGCCCGTCTATAACTTGCTGCTCATCGCGCCTGTCATGGGAACTCTCTATCTGGTCTGACCTCTGTGCAGTCTGCTCCGTCGCCCAGCTGCTCGCCGGGAAATCATCTCATGGCAGTGTCTACTGCCCTAGCCTGGCTCGCGCTCGACACATACAGTAAAAAAGAGACAGAGCCCCTTCAGTCCTCAGGCCCCGCGTGAGAGGCTCGGTAGATCTTTGTTCTGGTCCAGCTCTGGCGCTCGGGATCCTCGAGGCGGGCTATATATATATATATATATATGTATGT